GAAAACTTACTAAATAAAATAAAATAAATTAAATTAGCATAAAATAACAATAAAAACTTGTTGTTTTATTTAAAAAATTGTTTCTAAATTTAACCTATTTGGAAAAATTTGGTTTAACTTTGGCATTTATTAATTAGCAATTAATATATGTCCATATGCCAAAATCATTCAAGCCTAAAGTCATTAAGCATTATCCTTTAAGAAAAAAAGGAACGATGGCCGCAAAAGCCGAGAGAGTGGACGTTCAGGAGCACCCTGATCAGTCATCTGTGGATAATATTAGCAGTGCATTAGAAATTCTGACTTTCCCATTGATTGACTGCCTTGCAAAAGCTGGCAGTCAGGCTCACTAAAGGACCAGAGCCTGTTGTAGGTATTTATGAATCCAGAAAAGCTCAGAACACCAAGTGTTTGTAACCTTATGTCCTTCATCTGAGGGAAGCGAAGGTTTGAATAAAACTCAGTGTCTTCTTGGGGAGAGCAATGGGCCCACTTATGAGGCGCCCCCTTTTATGGGTTCTTTATCAATCCCCAATCACCACAAACTACAATTGAGGTGTGCTTTCTCTGAGGGGGAGGTTGTATGATGAGGTGTGTTATGAATACGAATGGAAAAGAAGGGGGTCTAAAAAGTGTAATTGTTGTKTATCTTCAGCACTGATGCTGGGCTTCAATGCAATGTACATGCAGTCTAGAGCACGGGAAACAAAGTAGTTACATCCACAATGTATTGGCTTCTATATGTTGAAATAGGTGAGTAGCACAAACAGAACTTTACTTTCAGCTGTAGCAATCATGTTGAATAAAATGTGAACTATAAATTGTATAAAACTCTGGGAGTTTACGCCTTAGCTTTTTACCAGTAAAGATGTTCTTCAACCATTTTGGTGACAGCTCGGGAAACGGCTCTTTCCTGTGGGGTGAGGTTCTTGTTTAGGTTCACCCCCAGCTTCTCCTCCAGAAAATCCACGATGAACTCTGACCCTGACACCTGCTCATGATTGTACTCGATCCACGGCATCTTCCCCTGAGGTGACAGCCTCCCGTCAAAGTAGTTCTGTAGAAGGAAAGAGCATCCTGTGAGATCATGTAAATATATTATTCAGATTCAGATTCGCTTTATTCTCATTCAAACATAACATCAGAGATGCAATGAAGAACAAAATGCAGTTAAGATCMCCCGTTCAAGAAAAACACACATGACAAAACATCGGAAAACAGGTGAACAGGTCTTGCACAACAGGGTCTCGCTACCTTTTGCAGCCTGGAAATACACAATAGGAGAGATGAGTTAAAAAAAGTTGCTCTGATCCTATGTTTACATCATAAACACAGAGTYATATGCACAAAAAGCCACTCGCGACAGAGCAGACAGCTTGGGGTGGGGGGGCTTGGGTCAAACACATGAGATGGGGGCGGKATTCAGTGGAGCCGGTGACGTTTTAGGTTAATTCTCCGTGCTGGAACAGATCCTAGACCAGCCAGAGTCCAGAGACCAGATCTTACTCGTCTCATGCTCGGTTCACTAGAGTTCTGAGTTTCCCCCTCCTCCTCCACAGCCTTCAGACCAGATCCCACCCAGGTGATGCGTGGGAGGGAAGGGAATCAAGCCCTTGTTGTCGTATCATCCTGGGGAGTTTAGATATCTTGGCAGTCGAGGCCAAGCAGCTGGGAGCCGAATAAATAAYACAATTGTTTTGGGATAAGCAGCCTTGAATTTCTTGCTGCTTTTCAGTCTTACTGCATCTCTGAAAATGGCAAAAAAAAAAGAAAAACATTCTGAATTCCGGGTCTTCCTCGCCTCTCACGTCTGAAGCTTCACCCAGATGTGATCCTACATGCCAGAGGCACGCTGCTGAGCTGCAATTCTCGTTAGAATCACATCCAGTTCGCGACTTAACTCCCCCAGCATCTGAGTCTGTGCGCCCCCAGAACAGCAGATTCCATCCACTGCACCCGACAGCTTCTCAATGGCCCGGACCCCTGTCAGGATCGCTTTCATATTCGGATTAATCAGAAACCCACCTCCGCTAATCAGCAGTAATTCAATTATCATAAATCCAAATATATACAAATCTTCCATGTCTTCAGTGGAAAGTGGTGTGAGACACATCAGCTTCCAAGCCCCCCAGGAACCACTGACCCGACCGGCAGCTACCGTTCCACTTGGACAACTACGTTCCTCTTGTTCCAATCTTAATGTGGAAAAAATTGTGTCAACTGCGTTCAGAGACCAGTTGACCAAATCCATAATTCCTTTTTGTTTCGGATGGTAGGTAGAAAAAAGGCTTGAAAAAGCTGCAAAGCAGCGTAGGAGGGGCTGGTTCAGGAGAGAGCAAAAAAGCGTCTGGCACCTCTGAAGGCCAAGCGAAGAACCCTCTATCTATCCATCCATCTATTATCTCTACCTGCTGTTTTCCTTTCAGGGTCAGGGACCAGCTGGTGCCTGTGAGAGAAGCGTGATACACTGTGGACAAGTCAGACGTCTGGACTTATTATACCTTAATGTACATTTTTAAATAAATGAGTTACAGTAGACTGGTTTGCTTTAATGAGCTTTGAAAAGTAAACGTTTCAATTTTTGCTGTTTACTGTAGTTGTTCTTGAGCATTTTCATGAGAGGAGTGGGGAAACAACTCTGCTGCTCTGATGTGTTGCTGTCACTTAATCTGCTGATGAGAACAGCAAGGGAGGAGTCACAGAATGGCTTTTGCGGCTGAGGGAGCTGGTGTTTCTCTCTAACTGTCAATTGCAGGGTGCATCCGAAACAGGTCACTAGTTCATCACAGACCATCCCACACACACACCTACCAGAGTGTCTGCAAAAAATCCATGTGTGTATTAGCAAGTCATACATGTCAACCGCTTCAGATGTTTACCTGTATAACGAGCTTCAAAAATCTGTAATTTTGGCAAAAAAAAAATCGTATTAATCACACGCAGAGGGTGGGGGATCAGGGTGCCTGCAGACCGTCAGCCATGAGGGGAGGGGCTAGGGTGCAGGCGGACTGTCGGCTGCAGCAATATCAAAATGAAATGAGGATGGAAGAACTTATTTCTAGCAGCACAGTGGGTTGGAAGAGGATATTTGATGCTAATTGTTTTTTTAACGTCTTACAGGCTCTGACATGTTAACTAAATTTGAAAACTAGTTTTTGAAAAAATCCGTAAAACATGAAAAAAATCTGTGAAATTGCTCTATATGTCTGTATACCTCCATTATGACGGAAAATCTGTGTAAATTATGGACAATCCGTACAACTTGACATGTATGGCAAGCACAACGCAGAAAGTAAACTTGAGTTTGGACCCAGGATGTTATTTCTGTCAAAATACTAAAAACAAAGGTAGAACCATGTTGCTTTTCTGTAAACAACCAGTGATTCCTTTCAAAAAGTAATTAGATCAACTCAGCCTACCTTTGCTCAAATAAAATATCATGCAACCTCAATATACAAAGTATGAAGGTACTGTAAAGATTCCACTCAACAAGGGTCTTCAGCACACAGCACAACAAAAGACCCAGAAAATGTCCAAAAAGGTCAGAAAAATGATGGAAAACTGGTGACTATTGTTGAGTTGTACAGAAAAATATCAATAGCTCTAAATATTTTTCAAAGCGATATTAGAACCATCATAAAAAATAAAGAATATGCAACCACAGATAACTGCCAAGACAATGTTTTACATCTCAGCCAGGAAGAAATGACACATCAGGCTGTGGTGAGGCCAATGCCATCATCTGAAAGGCCTGGGAAGTTGGTCAGAATTAAAGGTATGATTTTGTTAAATACAATCTTTAAAAAACTCAATTAATATTACATTGAAGTAAAACTGAAACAGAGGTTGAGCTTTTTTTAGCACTACCACTGTGAATATCACAAATTCAAAAGAGAGATATAAATCTTCAGTCTCTTCAATAACTTGCATTGTAGTCTGTGAATAGACACTAACCAGATTTTCACTGAATCAAAAAGTTTTTTTAAGCAAATTAGACACTGATTGATCCATTTTTTTAGAATCTTAGCTTAATTGTAGCTCTTAGCTTAGCATAGTTATATCTCACAAGTAACAACTGAACATTCCTGATGAATAAAAAGAACATTACTGTCTGAAAAACAGCGGTGCAGAAATAAAGACTTTATCAGAAAGCATATAAAAACAACAAAACCCTGAGCGGTGTTGCCACCCTCTCTGTCACCTGATAAGGCAGATCCACCATGCGCAGGTATGTCTCTATCTTGAGGCAGAAGGGGGAGAGGCTCGGGATGCCATTCTTTGGTCTGGAGAACTGATGCAGGATGATGGCATCTTGAGAGTCCAACTCCTGCTCCTTCCTGAAGGGCACAAATGTCAGTTTATTATTTTTATTTAGCTCAACTTCAATCAAAATGACACAGTAAGATTTTTTTAGAAATATTTAATTGATATTTAATTTAAAAAAAATGACAAATGATAAAATAACAAAACAAACATTATTTAGCATGATGCTTATAGTTTTTGTTAAAAACATGTATAGCCAGTGGTGGACAAAGTACTCAACTCTAGTACTTGAGTAAAAGTATTGATACTCAGGATCAAATCTACTCAACTACAGGTAAAAGTTACTCCATCAAAAATCTACTCAAGTTAAAGTACTGAAGTRCTTACTTTTGAAAATACTTAAGTATTCAAAAGTACATGCATTTAAAATTACTCAAGTATTCAAAAGTACAAATTACATTTTCTACTATCAACACATTGCTGTATTGTTTTCAGAGTGAGTTTATAGAACCTTGTAGCTCTCAGAAACCACCGGATGTATCGACACATACAACCCCTGGCAAAAATGATGGAATCACTGGACTCAGAGGATGTTCATTCATTTGTTTAATTTTGTAGAAAAAAAAAACAGATCACAGACGTGACACAAAACTAAAGTCATTTCAAATGGCAACTTTCTGGCTTTAATAAACACTGAAATAAATCAAGAAAAAGACACTTTTCTTATCCCGTCAAATGAAAGGATGATGGGGATGACGAAATCATTTTTCAAGATAATGCATCCTGCCATAGAGCAACAACTGTGAAAACGTTCCTTGAAAAAAGACACAGAAAGTCAATGTCATGACCTGCAAATAGTCCAGATCTCAATCCAATTGAAAATCTTTGGTGGAAGTTGAAGAAACTGCTCCATGACAAGGCTCCAACCTGCAAAGCTGATCTGGCAACTGCAATCAGAGACAGTTGGAGCCAGATTGATGAAGAGTGTTTGTCACTCATTAAGTCCATGCCTCAGAGACTGCAGCTGTTAGAAAAGCAAGAGGTGGTTCAACTAAATACTAGTGGTGTTATATTGTTTTTGTTTCTTTGTTTTTCATAATTCCATCATTTTTTTTCTCAGAATTGAATGATTCCTTATATTTTCCCCTCTGCATGCACAAAAAGGTAACTGTTACTGACTGCTACAACTTTTTCTTGATTTCTTTTAGTGTTTCTTAAAACCAGAAAGTTGCCATTTGACATGACCTTAGTTTTGTGTCATGTCTGTGATCTGCTGTTTTTTCTACAAAATAAACAACTGAATGAACATTCTCTGAGGTCGGTGATTCCATCMTTTTTGTCAGGGGTTGTAGAACCACTCTGCTACAAATTCTACACCACCTGTAAAGACATAAAAATGCAATGAAGTGAGTGGTGAGTTCTTAAATTCACAAATGTGGTTTATCCGTAATGAACTCATGAGATGTTTAAACTACTACTTTTCAGTCCTAAAATCTCAAACAGAGCTGAGATATGATCATGGGTGTGCTGGTTTCTCTATTCTCTTCAATCGTCTCCATTGCTGGGTTCTGTCGTTGTGTCCTTGGGCAAGACACTTCACCCGCCTTGCCTACTGATGGTGGTCAGAGGGTCTGGTGGCGCCAGTGTATGGCAGCCTCGCTTCTGTCAGTGTGCCCCAGGGCAGCTGTGGCTACAATGTAGCTTACCACCATCAGTGGGTGAATGTCTGTAAGTGTAAAGCCCTTTGGGGTCCGGAGGGACTTGATAAAGCTCTATAAGTTCAGTCCATTTACCATTTGTTTGAAATGTAGGTGGGAGCTCAGCTCGTGACCGTTAATGAAGATGATGTAATTCTAAATCTATCCTAGATGTGAGCTACAACTGTGATTGGTTCCCTATGAGGAACATAGTGTGACCAATATCATTTCAAGAAAGAAAAACAGCAACAGCTGATCACAAAGCTGTGCAGAACCAAAAGTAACAGGTAACTAAAAGCTTCCTGGAAATGTAGTAGAGTAAAAAGTACAATATTTGCCTTTGAAATGTAGTGGAGTGAAAGTATTAAGTACCCCAAAATATAATTACTCAAGTAAAGATACTCAAAAAATGTACTTAATTACAGTACGCGAGTAAATGTACTCCACTGCTGTCCACCACTGTGTAAAGCTGGCATCAACGACAACATGTACTCCAAGGATTAGAATTTTTCTGATTCTACTCTGTGAAAGCTGGCTTTTAATGCAATAAATAAAATTCCTAAAAAAATTCTAATTTTCTCAGGTTCCTGTGTTTGTGGTTTGTCATACTGTAAATATCTGCAGATTATATTTGTAGTGGTCACCCTGGGTGGAATAAACGTTCCACCTGCCTTTGAACTTGACCACGGAAGGCCTCCTTTAAAG